CTACTTGCTTCTCAGTATTTGCTTGGGTTAATAGCTTTTGTTCCCAACAGTTCTGTCCCTCAAGCTCTTTCTAGTCCTGCATCCTGTCTGTAGGTGGCCTCATCTACTTCATGCCTTGGTTCCTCTGATACATACTAGAATCACCCTTGTGTATCCCATGGGTCTCCATCTCATCTGGACATCATCTAGATGCCCATGGCACCTCAAATTTCATATCTGCAAGGCTGACCTCATCTTCTTTTCCCCCAAACAAGTTGTCCACCTGTATTTCAGCCTACAAGTCAGCAATATTTACCTAATCACTTAGCCAAAAGTTTGGATATCACCCTGACTCGGTCCTTCTCTTCAAATACAAAGACCTGTGATTTCTACCTCCCTAAAGCATCTTGTTCTTGTTCTCTATGCACTGTCTCTGAATGTGTGCCAAATTAATGACAAAATGGACAACCTCTTACGGACAAGGTTGTCAAAATCTATGTTGGTTTACCTCCACTCTTATGTAAGTCCTGGGCTTGATGAGAAAGACCCTTTCTTTCTCTGCTTTTCCTTTTTGCCATTTCAGTGCCTGAGTGCTATTGCTCTGTGAGTTTACCCTCACTGTTTTCCTCTGCCTAGATGCCCTCCTCTCCCACCCTTGGCATCCTCCAATCTATCACCCCATTGCCTACCATTTTATTCTGCCAACTCTTAATCTTTTTCCATGTTTTATCAGGATGTCAGCTCCTCTAGGGAACTTCCTTAAAGCCCCAAGCCCACTCCTTTCATCATTCTCCTTTCTTGGCCTTTATCAGAATGGAGTACTCTCCCTTTGTGTTTTCACAGTGGTTTGAGATTCTGCTCTCATTACATTAGCAATCAGGATCCCTGAGGAAACAGATGACACACTGTAATTAGGATGCTTCAAGAAAGTGTGGGGGAACCATAGGGATGGGGTAGGAACCAGAAGGGGTGGGGTAGGAACTCCAGGTTAGTAACAGTTGATCTGGCACCAACTAATCCAAACAGACAAGATGACTGACTGGTTCAACAGTACGGACAGAGAAAATCATGTAGAGGAGGTTATCTGATGAGGAGCAGTGACCTTTGTTTGACAGTGATTGAGGCAACCTTTCTTGCAAGGAAAACAGGAGAGTAACTCTCCTGGCTTCATTCTCCTCCCTTCTACTTGACTTCATGTCAGGGTTCCCCAATGGCCAAACCAATCAGCAGGCAGAGGACAAGGAAATGAGTTAAAATAATCTCACAGCCGAGTCTGCCGACCTGTAAGGTTGGAAAAGTGTCAAGACTGGCTCTAGAGAAGTGAATGGATTACATTGAGCACAATCACGCTATAATAAAACTGTCTTTTTGTTCATTAGGCTCCTGCATTAGACTGAGTTACTTGAGTACAGAAAATGTTTCTTTCATCTCTGCATCCTCAGTATCTAATATATACAATATAATAAATGCTTATTGATTGATTCAGAGAATATGGTGCTTTGGACATTAGTTGGAGGACTACATTCTCCAAGCTTGCCACATGCTTTTGGAATCTGGGGAAAATGGAAAACAGAATGAACTTTATGATTTTTATTGTTTGAGAAAAAAGAAACATTTTGTTCAAGAGAGATGAATTATCTTAGTGCTCAGTATTGGGAGGGATTGGATTTAGTCTTGACTTCCTACGTAAGAGGCATTCAGCCGCATAATGGGCAATCCCTCCAAGAAAAGCCACAGGTGCAGAAACATTTTTCATGGGGCTGTTTAAAAATATAAGTGCCTGTACACCCAAAACTAACATAACAATGTATGTTAACTATCCTGGAATTAAAAAAAGCCCTTGATAAAAGCCAAAAGCTTGTTGTTAAAGACTAATCCAAAGGTGAGCTGAACTAATATGGTCCACTCTGATAGTTCTTAGAATATCTTGCCACCAAATGGTTAAGCCTTAGACTGCAAACCTGACTCCCTAAATAAACCTTCGGGGTTGTCACAAAAGATTTTGTGGTTTCTCTTTTCTCTTAGAAGAAAAGGACCAACAAAGAAGCTCACTGAGGGACGATGGATCAATCAGAAGGCAGAAACTTGGATCCTTGAATGATTATGTGGGACCAAGCTCTCTATTTACCTCCTATTAATCTCTGTGCTAAGAGCAAGAAATAAACTTTTAATTTGTTAAAACTCTTAAGTTTTGTTATGGGCTTTATGGCAGCAGTTATTTTGCTTTAATACAGATATAAAATAATGTTCTAAATATTATATTTGAATTTGTTTTAAATGCTATCACGATGATAATCATAATCCATTGTCCATATTTATAATCAATTATTTTCATAGAAGTCCTTTCCAGTTTGCATCTCATAGTTTGAGGATTACTGTATTTCTGTCTTCCATTTGAAAGATGCCTCATAGAGCCCTTCTTGCATGGAACATGATAGAATATATGATATACAATAATCTGATGTATTTTATAATGTACAAATCCCCATTTCATGCAATATCTCTCTATATTCCCCCAGCAAACCTGAGGAATATTCAAGGGTCTATTATTGTCCCCATTTTGCAGGTGATGAAATCGACACTAGGTTAAGCATAAAGCAGGGGGGAAAAATGGAAACAACTCATGTCCAGAGTTATTTGAAGATTTAGTTAAGAGAATGATTTAGTCTGCCTGGCATCTGGTACATGTTATTTTCTATCTAACTCTCTGATAAATTGTCTATTGCTGTGTAACAAACCACCTCCAAAATAATGACGTACAATAGAAATAGTCATTGATTCTGCTCACAGAACCTGGGTTGTGAAAACAGGAATAGCTGGGGGTGGGGGTGGGGCTGGAACAGCTGGCTTCCTTGGGCTTCTTTCTTTCTGTGGTCTCTCCACATGGTCTCTCCACATGGCAGCCCCAGGGTAACCATGGCAGCTGAAGGCTTCTAGTGAGAGTAGAGAGAATGAGAGTAGAGTGAAAAAAAGAGAGCCAGAGCGAGATATGGGAGAAAGAGAGGGTGAAGCAGAAGTTCTTAATGCCTTATGACCTAGCCTTGGAAGGACGTTATGCTGTGTCACTTCCGCCACATTTTTTTCAGAAGCAAGACATTAGGGCCAACTCATAATCATGGGGAGAAAAATTAGACTCCACTTCTTGATTGAAATTTTGGCCGTTTTTGTTTTTTTTAACTACCACATTTTCCTTCTCTAAAATGCTTGCCTAAGTTAACGCAGACATGAATCTCGGGGGTAACAGACACATCCAAGGTCATTCAGCTGTTAAATGGTTCCACCAATATTAGATCCATTTTTGTGACTCCCACCTCCATGCCCTTTTCATTCCCCCAGAAAATCTCTTATGATTAGCATACCAAATGTGGTAGGTAAGACCTGCTATTTATTCCACAAGAGATAATCCTAATTTCCTTGGAAAACATACTTACATTTATTTTGCAGGAAAAATATTACCCAGAAAGCAATCATCCATGAGTGCTTTCCAAGTTTCTCCCAAACATCTGTGTTTAAAATTCCCCACCCCCAACAGATGTATTCATTTGCATTCCCTCCCCCCAGACGAATCACTTTTTTTTCTGTTGTTATTTTTTGACTGTATTTCTCACCTCTCAAGATCCTTTTGTATTAATTTGCAAACCCACCACTTAGGTTGGTACCATCTCCTGATTTGGAACCTTCCCTTATTTCCATCATCATGAATACGTGCCCTTCCTGTGGGCCATGAACAGAAATGTTCTTTAAGAGGATGGTCTGATATAAGGTCTGAGGGATATTCTTTTCCTTCCTTCCTTCCTTCCTTCCTTCTCTCTCTCTCTCTCTTTCTGCAATAAGCCAAATTTTCTACAGTTGATATTTCTTTTGATCCAAAGAAGAGTTTAACCTTCTCATTTTAGGAAATCTGAGTTATTTGAACTGTGATGTAAATCTGAAATCTCAGAAGGCTCACATATTTTCTGTAATTCTAAGCAGTAAGACAGATTTCCCTGTAGGATCTTTTCTCTGTTTGGGGATATCCAGAAAGTCCCTATGGGGAACCATCCTTTTTGCTTCCCAGACCCAAAGGGTTGGTGGGAACAGAGTAAGAAATAGAATGGATGAAGAGTCTGCAGGAGGTATGGGGGTCTCTGTGTAGACCAGCACAGTATTCAGAAACAGTAGCTGCATTTTAAGAAAGGAAAGAGTGATATTGATTTTTAGAATAGATTTTATTTAACTCAATATATCCAAAAACTATCATCCAAACTTGTAGTTATTACAAAAATATTTACGAGATTCTTTTCATTCTTGTATCTATACCAAGTCTTGGAATCTGATGTGCACCTCACACTTCTTGAACACTTCATTCTGGTGTAGCCACATTTTAAGTCATCAAAAGTCAAAACCATCTTGAAGAGCACGCATAAACCCTTCCTTTCTGTTGCTTCATGGGGCCTCTGATTCGTCGACCCTTTCTTCTGTGGTTGCAAACCTTCTTATCATTCAGATCTCAGCTAGACCCACCTATTTCAGAGAGGGACTGCAACGAATGCGACCCATTCCCTCCCAGATCTTCTCCATCCTGTTCTCCTGCGTTACTATCTGCGTTGAGCCGATTTCTTCCAAAGTGATCTTATTTGCTTACGGGTTTTTTTCCCCTATCTTCTCCACCAGAATGTAAGTTTCATGAGGGCAGGGTTTTTAAAAATCTATTTTGGTCTCCGAGTTCCTGGTGCCCAGCACTGTGCCTGGCACACGCCAGGCGCTCAGTTCACATTTGCTGGACGAAGGAATCGAATTTCTCTGGAGCGCTGTGGCCGTGGGGGGCAGCCGAGCGACGTGCACAGGTGGAGCACCCACGGCGCGCGCAGCTGCGCTCCCCGGGCTCCTGGTGGGTGTGGGTGAGTGGGTGTGTGCGGGGGTGTGCGCGGTAGAGCGCGCCAGCGAGCGGGAGCGCAGAGCGGGGAGGAGCAGCCAGCGCCGCGCAGAACCCGCAGCGCCGGCCGGGCCCGGCAGCTTGGAGGTGGGTGGGCCGTGCAGCCAGTCCGCTCGCGGGGTCCCTATTGGCCGCCCGCGGGCAGCCCTCCGCCGGGAAGGCGGTGAGGAGCCGAAGAGCTGCTCCCGAGCGGGAGCGGGAGCGCCCGGCCGAGCAGACGCCGGGGTGGACGCGCGGGATCCGCACCCCCCCGCTCCCCGCCACTCGTCCCCTCCCTGCGCTCCCGCCGCCGCCCCGCTAGTCTCCGGCGCCCACGGTCGGCCTCCGACAGCTTCGGGAGGACTCGGGCAGCTCCTGGGCGCCCGGGTGAGTGGCCGCGCGCGCTCCCCGGCTTCTCCCGGGCCCCGCCGCCTGCTTTTGCTTTCGCGGCTGCGGCGCGGTGGGGTTTGCCCGGGCAGCGCCCAGGGCAGCTGGGAAGGCCGAGGCAGGGGCAGCTGGACTGTGGGGAGCAGTGGGATCGCAGCCAGGAGGCGCCCCCAGGCCCGCGGGCCGGATGGGAACAGGTGGCGCGGGCCGGGCCGGGCGCTTTGTGTCGGGGCGCGGAGACCGGGAGCAGGCGGCCGCGCCTCCCTCGGCCGCTCCCTTCCCTCCCCTGCTCCCCCGGGCGGCCGCGCTCCGGGTCGGCCGGGTAACGGAGCGGGAGTCGCCAGGAATGTGCCTCTGGGGACTGCCTGGCTCGAGGGAGGGGAGAGGATGGCCGCGGCTGCCGGAGAGTGAGGGAGCCGAGAGGTGGCGCGGGGGCCGCCGAGCCGCGGCGGGCTGGAGGGGGATGCTTCCAGCGAGGCGCGTTCCGCCCGGGCGCGGGCTTCATTCTTCCTAGGCGCCCCCGGAGGTGGGGAGCTGGGTGGGCGTGTGTGTGGAGAAAGGGGAGGCGGGGAGGCCAGCCACTTCCGGAGCCGGTTCTGATCGCTCAGAGCGCCCTGCTTTCGGGGACGCGGACCTTGGGGTGCGGTTGTGCCGGGCCCCACGCGCGCGCGGGCGATGCGGGGCCGGGGGCGTCCCTGGCACAGGTTTAACAAAGGGTGCTCCTCTCCACCCGGCGGGGAGGGGCAGCTGGGGAGAGGTGGTCTTAGGCGAGGCGAGCGGCTCTTAGCATGGGGAGGTCTACTTCCTCTCCGGGTTGTCATTTTATTATTGTTATTGCTCTAATTTTAAAGGGCTGGAGACTGATGGATGAGGGGCCCACGGAGGCGCAGGAGCGGTGGTGATGGTGTGGGAAGCGGAGCTGAAGTGCGCTGGGCTTTGCTGAGGTGTGACAGTTTATCATGACTGTGTTCAGGCAGGAAAACGTGGATGATTACTACGACACCGGCGAGGAACTTGGCAGGTACAGGGGGTACCGGAAGCGCATGCCATTGGGTCGTGGGAATGTATAATATTGGGGGCAGTGGGCGGTAAACAAATGCAATTTGAATCAGGCGGCTCCCTCTCCCTTCCAAGAGATGTGCAAATTATAGAGAAAAGAGTTGCTAACCCGGCGCGGGCTAGCGTCCAGAAATAACCTAATCCAAGGGTCCAGGATTGGAGAGGCAGTTTCGGTGATTACGTTACAAACGGTATTGATCAAGACCCCTGGACAGGAACAGATTTAATTGTCTGCAGTAACTCTTATCAGCTTTTGCCCTTCGAAGATGAGGCAAAAGCTAAGATATATTTGCATCTGGAGTTAGATCTTATATGTGATTTAAACAGAACACAAACAAATTAGTTGGCTTTTAAAATCTTAATGCTTCCTGCATTTTCAAAGTAACAGGAGCAAGTAGGTATTTGTAGATCATATATGGCGACTTGCCAGATGTTGGTGTTGGGTTTGGATTTGGAACTTCCTCCAACCAGGAATTGAATTACCGGGTTGGTGTTAGTGGTTGCTTTGGTTTCATTTGCAATGTTAGATTTTTAACAAATAAATGACTGAGAGTCTAATAGGGCTGTCTGGATTCAGAGCATACTTCCATTGCTTTGGGAGCTGTGACTCTGTGTGCAAAGTCGTTCAGTTTCTAGGTAAACAAAGAATGATTATTTTGAGGCGTCTCAGGGCTGGCTCAGTTTCCCCTTGACTGGGTATTTGACAGGGTGTGTTGAGCTCTGGTCTAACTAGCAGAAAGCTGTTTTCACACCTACGTTTAAATTCAGCATAAGAATTTGATTGTAGTGTATTTGTACTGAGTAAAAGGATCTTGAAGCAAACAAAGTGTTTACTTACATTTGTATCAAAATATGTATTTTCCCATACACTCTGGATGTCCTGATACAAAGCATTTTCTTTATTACAAAGAAATTCAGAAATGCACACACCCCAGCTTACCTAATGAAAATTTTCACTGTGGAGCTTAGCTAAAAATTTTTTACAAGTTTAAGTATTAGTGCAGAATAAAAGCAATTTTTAAAAAGTTACTGTAATAGAATATTTCTATGTGTGTTTAGTATCAACTCAGAACATCACTGAGAGCCTGCACTTAAGAGGAGCTTACCATCTATTGGAGATTTACTGAGTGATTACTGAAGAAGGGAAGCTCTCAAAAATAATATATTTCATGGATATGTTTAAGATTAAGTTTAAGGGTGTGCGGTTGAAGTACTTGGTTTAACTGGAATGAAATCACTTTATTCCTGCGGTTTTCAGCAAGATGAGTGGTATATGGAGTTTTCCTTTGAGAGTAGAGGGAAAAAGGTGGAAAAATATTTTTTAATTCCATTTGTGCCGTGTGGTCTGCTTTCAGAAATTCTTTTTAGAAAGGGGTGATTAAAATTAGGTGAGCTGCTTGCTTTATGGATTAAGTATATGACCTTATTTTCAGTAAGATCTTTTGGTAGAATTATGTGTTACAAGAAAGAAAAAAATTGAAGCCTCCCTGAGGCTAGTGGGGGAGTTTGTGATCTTCATTTTGTGGGTGCGATGACAGGCCCTCTTAGCTGAGCTGGGAGGTAGCCTGCTCATTTATCAGTACATTTCAATTTGATTTGGTCTCAGTCTCCTTTTAGTGAATAACTTTCTCCCCACTGCGCAACACTAAATGACACTTTGTTTATTGAATAATTTAATTTATGTGACCTATGAATTTGAAAGAAGGGCTCTGAAAAACTGGGAGTTGGGGGTTTTTAAAATAGAGCACATATGCCTATCCATCTGATACCAGCTGCTTTTGCTTTGCCTAAAGATGGGGAAAATGGTTGATTATAGGGGGAAGTTTTTTTTTCCAAGCGCTGTGATTTTTACATCTGCCTTGGAAATAGCCACTTCCTGAAAACAAGTCCTGACTAAGATAGACATGAAGGAAAGAGGCTGCTTCATGTGTCACATAAATGAAAATGGGCAGATATGTAGCATCAATGCAAGGCTGATCTAAGCAGTGAAGGATACAGAGACCAACGTATAGATTCAGCACTTGACCTGTGTGTCTTTAGGAGTCATCTAAGTAGTAGCTAGTCTCTTACAAATATGCTGAGACCAGGTCCATAGAGAGAGGGGATGACAGGTTCACTCAGTAGTAATATTGTTATTACGTTAAATTTAGGAAAAGCAGGAGAGTATGTATGTATGAGTATGTGTGCATGGGTGTGTCTGTTTGTCTATGTATGTTAGTATGTGTCTGTGTGTATTGCCCAGGACTGCTGTACAAGCTCTCTGTCCCTGTAAAGAACTTTATAAAGTATTCTGGTTATTGTAGTAATGATCCAGCAGACAGATCACTGGACAGATATCCTGTTTCCAAATCTACTTCTGCAACTTGCTAACTTTATTACCTTCAATAAGTCACTCACCCTTTCTGACCCTTAGGGTCCTTCGTTTTTATTGTATTTATTTACGTATTTATTTTTTGAGAGAGAGAAAGAGAGAGACAACATTCGCGCATGGGAAGGGGCAGAGGGAGAGGAAGAGACTCAGCGCAAAGCCCAAAGTGGGGCTTGATCTCAAGACCCCATGAGATCATGACCTGAGCTGAAATCAAGAGTCTGATGCTCAGCCAACTAAGCCACCTAGCCCCCGCCCCCCTTCGTTTTCAAAGTGAGAGGTTTAGTGTTTGTGTCATGGTTGTTGTATAACATGTGTAAAAGTATTTTCATCAGAAGTAAAGACTTAAACAAGTGCAGATCTCATCTGCAGGCCTGGCTGAGACCTGTGAGTGTCGCAGGTGGGCTGATGACTTGGCCTACAAGTCAGCGTGCATCCAGGTGTCTGCTTACCAATTTGGGGAAGGGAGGCCTTCTGGGAAAAGGGTCCTTGGGGAGACACATTGATGTTGCCCTTGGCCTCCCCAATCTGAGTCTGAGTGAAGCAGCTCTGGCCTCACAGAGGCACCACCTCCAAGTGGAAACAAATTCCTGTAATAAACAGGACCTCCATCCTTAGAAGACTGATGAACTTCTGTGTTGACTCTAGGTGGCCCTTTGGGGTCTCATTCTCTATCTCAGGAGGTGGATCAAAGCACTGCTTCCATCCCATGGAGTGGTTTCTGAGAGGGGTTCTTATAAATGCAGATTTCTCCATCCGCCAGTCTACTTGGGTCCGGGGTGCCTCAGCCACTTATCAGTTGGCACTCGGGAGGCTACAGGCTGGCTTGTCCCACCTTTGGGCTCTGGTTATGTGGTTGGCTGTGGTTCAGCCTGACCTGTGAGCCTTCTAGACACTTCTCTGAGCACCACTTTCCTGGGGAACAGGCCTTCTTTCCTCTTCTGCTGCCTCACCTTACATGATCTTAAGACCTAGGTCTTCCCTCCTGAAGAAATCCCACCACAATGATGTCTCCCTTCTAGAAACCAAACATGTGCTGTCTGAATCATTCTACTGTGTTGGTACATGACCACAGATGGCTTCGTGCCATGCTGTGTCCTTGCTTTGTGTTGTCATCATTCTTGTTTTGCCTCTTGTAGCCGGCTTGAATGTTCCTTTTGGGTGAGTTCTGCGGTCTTTTCTCCCTAGGGTGCAGAGTGTGTTGTGTAACACCAGGCAAAGGCTTGATCCATGCCTGAACAAACGAATGCAGGTGGGCAGATGTGATATTGAGACCAGAATGGGGATTTAAGACATAAATGATGATGTGGACGCTGATGCTGATAGAGATGCAGTGTGTGATGTGGGACAGCCTTAGTATACTCATTTGGAAAGTGAGGAGACACCTACCTTTATAGGGTGTTGTGAGCGTTGGAGACAGTGGCTGTAAACATCTGACACACTGTCACTGCCTAACGTATTATTTTTAATAACCTGTTGTCTCATCCCAGTGTTTACTGTATTGTAGACTCATTGCTTACTCAATTATCTGCTTTCCTCACGGGTTGTCACGAGGTTGCGACCTTGGACTTACTCATCATTTTTTATCTCTAATGCCTAATTAGGTGTAGGTCAATAAATGCTTGCTGATTGGATGAACAGATTGATACACGTCAAGTGCCATGAACACACGCATGCACACCCACACCCACACACATGTACATATGTATAACCCTCAATAAGTAATGACCCTGGTGGAGGTGAGCTTAGGATATTAAAGTCTGCAGCTCATAAGAATCAAAGCTGCTTTTCCTTTGGTACTGTCTGTTCCTGAACAGTAATATGCACAGCAGCCAAAATTTACAAGCACAAGATCAGTTTTAAGCAAAACAAAACGGAGCATTAGAAAGTTTACGTTGGTTGGATGGTGGTTGGAAGCTAATAATTCAAATTTAAAACATTCTCACTTTGATATAAAAAACATAGGCATTTTAATTGAAGTAAGGCTTTGTCCTAAACTCCAAGAGTAAGAGTACACCTTTCATTTGGTTTTCTGCGGACTGCAGGGGTGGGCCCTAAGACTTACAGCAGCAGTCCTGTGTGGATAGAAGGAGGAAGGACTTCTTGGCACATTTCCTCTTTGGAAGTGGGACTCACAGGCCCACTAGGTTGACTACTCAGATCATCTCGTAGGATGCCGCTGAATGTGATTTTTTTTTTTATTTGAGTTTCTACTTCCACATGCCCTCAGATGTTTCCTCTGATAGGAGAGGCTGCAATGTTTTAAGAGAGATAAAGTTCCAATATATGTAGCAGAGGTAATGTTCAGCAACTTTTTTTGAAGTATGGTTGACCCACAATGTTATGTTAGTTTCAGGTGTGCAACATAGTGATTGGTGTGTTATAGTACGCCCCCAAGTGTAGCTATCCTCTGCCACTGTACAACACTATGATAATATCATTTATATTCTGCAGTAGTGATTTTGAATTCTGTGCATCTTAGGAAGGTCTAATAATGGTGAAGGGAGGGCATGGTGATGGTTGGCTGGATGCTTGCTTGCCAGCACTGGGAAGGCACCTCTGGACCACCCAGGCAGCCATAATTTAGGTTGGAT